TAGCATTAAAAAACTAAAATCATCAAAATAGAAGTCAAAGGAAGCTGAAATGAGCACAAAGAAGTTAAAGGTAAAGATTTATGAACATTTTTTAAAGGATTTTAAGGACATTGAAAACTGCTTCATTCATTTTCAATGAGGGAAAAAGTGGCAGAAAAAGCTAGCTATCTCAAAAATATGAATTGTCATWGCTGTATTATCCTGAAAGAGCTTTTCATTTATGAATTGTTGAAATGGCACAACAATTGCAAAAGAAACATGCCAAAACATGTACAGAAAAAAAATCTGTTACTCTTATTACAGATTTTTTGAAAAACCCTCTTGCCAGAGGAATTCTGGAGAACCTTCCAGACTTCAAAGGCTCAAACTGAACAGGTGTGAGCTAGAAATTCTGACGGTATGATTACCTTAGGCAAAAATATCACAGGATCACGGTATTATAATTGCAGCAATGAAATGTTTTATTTTGCAATATAAAAACAAAAAATGTAAATAACTTTTTCATTGTCATATTTAACTTGAATCAGCTTTGGAAGATGTTTTTTAATCACAGGTGTAATGCTGAAATTTCATTTCCCTGTCCATGTTCAAACTTATGATTTTAATACAATTAAGCTATACTGATAAAGTTTACATCTAATAGGATAACTGCTTTTTCACTGCTTTCATGGAAAAAATCAGGGTGTACTGTGCGACAAGTCGTCTTTTAATGTATCACGGTGGGAGTTTTTATTGCGTTTCAGAGATTTTAAAGTGTGTTTGACATAAAGAAGATCATATATATTGTAGCAAGAACAGAAGAAGAGAAACGAGTCTCAGATGTGGACTCCTGTTGGCTGGAGTCCACGCTGAGTCCAAAACTGTCCAGGAGGTCATTACTTCAGAGCAGGGAGCAGGTTATGGAGCAGACAGACGTTGCCTTCCGTCACTTTTGCCCCATTTTCATGGTGTAGTGTCGGAACGGTCGGTGTAGATACGGGTCGGTACGGTTCGGACCGGTTGGTTTTCCACTGATGTTCCAGTCCGGTTCCAATGGGTGTGTTTCGGGCAGTTGGTGGAGGTGGTTTTTAGGTATTTTGAAAAAAAAAATTTAAAAGGCAAAATGAGAGACGGAAACACATTTGATGAATAACTTTTGAAATTTTAAACATTTGCAAAAATTTAGCCAGTCACTGATGAACAGTGCTCTCAGCTGGGGCTGGTTGGAACCACAGTGAAGTAGGTACTWAAAAAAGTGCTGGTTCCATGGATCTGGCCTAATGGAAATGGCTTGGAACCGTACCGAACCGTACCGACACTACACTAAGTGACACTAGTGGAAAAGGGGCATTAGACYCCCTTAACGGGGTCGGCTCAGTCTTCTGCAGTTTAAAAATAAATGATCTACATTCTCCTCATATGGATAGCTCCTCCATCAGAGAACATGAAAGCTGAACTAGATTTATCTGGACTYTCCCCCAGCATTGCTGCTGGTGTATGACTAGTCAAAAGAATAGTATTCAGGGTCATTGCTACAGACTGAAACACTTTCTTTGGGGAAACACTGTTTATTATTATAACAATGTTCTGCTGATTATGATAATAAAAGGTTAATCATCTTCACGAAGGACACAAAGTAAAGTTTATCTGAGATTTAGGGGATAAATAAGGTGACCTGATCCTGAAAACGCAAATCTGGGACAAAAGCAACCATTTTTGAGGGACAATGTGGGACACATGACCAATGCATCACGTTAATTATTCTCTGCTTTGCACAACAGTGTTTTTTTAAGAAAGAAAATGTACATTTATTTTTTAATTAAATAAAGCTTGTTTTATTAGAAATAGCTGAACTGTAGGATTGAGGATGTATTATCTGTCTGTCCGTAGATCGACGGGCAGCTTTCTGAGCTGCTGTGGGTTTCTTGCTTCATGTTGTGTTCCTCTTCAAGAAGAACTGAAAAAAATTTGGCAATTTTCTCTCTGAGAATCACCTTTAAATTATCTAACCCATTTCCCAGTCTTTGTTTTGTTGCATTTTCATTTCTTTGACATGGTGTCCATTGCATTCTGCATAAATCAAATCCATTTACTTTGTCTAATTTTTATATGTACAAAAATTGGGCCGGTCTTGGCCATTAAACTCCCGGGCTGAAAAGTTTCCCCACTCTGCCCCTGGGCACTTGATGGTCCGGAGGGAAAAGGGTAGGTGCTCAAGCACCACCTGACCAGAGGCGATTTCTCTAAGACTGGAAGGGAAGCTCATCTTCCCCTAAAATGTAAAAAAAGGGAAAAAAAAGATAAAATATATACTGTTGTGTGACTAAATATGCGCTACAACGTGCTCAACCTTTGTTCAGAATCAGCTTCTTATCACTGGTAACAATGCGGCTTTCCTCATTTCCTCATTTCATGCAGCTTCACAGTGCTTTAAACAGTCAGACACTGAGCTTCCTCTGAGCTCATTAGCGATGCAAAGACTGCAGCTAAACGAGACGAGTTATTGGATAAATGCTGGCTTTGTCCCGCCCATCGGACGCTGAGCTTCTCTGGGGGTCTATGGGGCAGGGGGCTGGGTCGGACGCTGGCTGTCTGCATGATGATTGGATGATCTGTCGGAGGCTGAATCCCTTTTTGATTGACAGCGAAATGAATGAATCAGCGATCTTTTTGGTATAAACATGCATGGGAGCATTTTTTAGTTTCATTTCTGTTCTGAGTTAAATCAGAGACTTAGTAATCCTTTTAGCAGCATTTTCTTTGTTAAAAATGACTAGTGACAAATCGAGCTTCTATTTCCGGTGTTACTTCTGTATAGGGCTGCAACTAACGATTATTTTAATAATCGATTAATCTGTCGATTATG